TGTAAAAGTATTCGTGTTTCGTTATTGGTCATTTGAACTCACCACCAAACTATGGCCGTCACCAGCGAGACGAGCGGCGGCAACAGATAGGCGCGAGAGGTCCGAAACCAAGAAAAGGGTGTTGGTGAACTTTGAAAAGGTTCGAAAAGTATTGTTAATGATTAAGGTGATACGGTTGATGAAAATGTCGGTGAATAGTAGGAAGGTGGAATTGGAAAGAAGGGTTACCAATAGTGGAAATAATAGTGGAAATAATGAGGCCTGAAGTTTTTTCTGTGAATCAACACAAGCTGTAGTATTGCATAATGATGTGTTAAACTTTATGTGCCTGCATTTTTAATTTACTTAAAAATCTTTGCGCTTTGAAGGAGAAGGCGGGCAATCTAAATGTCGAGAAATTTTGCCATGCTAAAATAAAACTCTGATGAATTTATCGGCCTTACAGTATATACTAAAGTGCGTCGAGTATCATAAATATTGTAACAATCACTTGAAGTCTACTTTTTTTATGAATTTCAGACATACGACGTTATATTTTTATTATTAGAATAATAAAAATTTTCAAATAATGTAATACTGTATATACGGTATATACTGTACAGTAGATTGACATAAATTCATTTTGTTTTATATAATTTTCTTAATAAAATTGTATAATTAAAATTTAATAAAAAAATATATTTAGAAAAAAAAATTTTCAAAAAAAAAAATAATTATTATATAAAATTAATCTTTTTTAAAATATAATTTTAAGATCGTTTTATTAAAAAAAACAACAAATATTCTGTTAATTATATAAGAAACATCTAAATCCCATACTAATAATTTTTTAAAATTTTGATTACAAGAGTTTTGATAATATCTTCTATATGACTTTTTTTTTTTGAAATTTTTAACTTTTGCCTAGATTTAGTTTAACGATTAGAAAAATTCGAAAAGATCTGTAAAGCAAAAAAGTTTAATTAATAATTCATAAAGGATAACATAATCACGAATTAGGAATATATTTTGAAACGAGCTTATTTAAAATAATTTATTTTTTTTTTTTTACAAAATTTTCCAAACACAAATAACCAATAAAAAGTTGTTTACAAAGAAAAAAACCGAACAATGGATAATAAATAAATACAGCGTATTTGCGGAAAATACATTGGCAAATTCGTATAATAAAGTTTATGTACGAAATGCAACACCAATCAGAAGAGATTTTCCGAAGCTTATTTCATTCCAAATAACAACAAGCAATGTCTTTGCAAGTCTTCTCGATGACAATGGAGACACTAGCGCAATAATCGGAGTCAATAAAGACTCGAATAAAATTGATTCTCGCTAATTTCGAACATCGATAATATATTTTAGCGCGGAGTCCTTAACATGAAAATAGCGTGACGCCAATCAAACCAAACGTCACTATCCAGTAATTCCCTTCCCAATGGACAATATAGAAAACTTCTGTGCAAGCTACAATACAGTATCCACACAAATCCGAATAAATGTGCTGGTTGATGACGGGTTCGAACTTGATTAGTAATAATTAAGTCCCTCTGGATACGCGTCTGTTTCTCGGATTTTTATCTTTCAACATTAACTCAAATAGATATCAAGACTTTTTTAAACATTGTTACCGTAAGATACGCGGTATATAATTTATTTTCAATCAAATATCACTTCTTGGGTCACTGTAAAATGGAAATAACTCTCCGCTTTTGAAAAATTTCAAGGCGTTTGAAATAACTTTTAGGGACGAATACATTTCACGTAAGGCCGAGACTTGCAATGATCCATAATATGCAACTTTTAGATGGCCTGAGACGTCATTTAATGTTTCTGGACCAAGACAGTTGATTCGGTTTTTACCTTAACAGTAGGCATAGTTCTAATCACAAAGTTGTCAATGGTAGTTAGTAGAGGTAAAGGACTATTCTCGACATATCATTACCGATGAGCACTTGGCCGAATTATCATAAATACGCATCATATTCCTAGGATATTGTTCAAGCAAGTTAATATGGAGAGGATACAGATGGAGATAATTCGCAGACACTTTAGAATATGACCTAGTGTAACGGTAATTTTAAAAGTAGCCAGATTCTTTGCGGATATGACCATTTAAGACGAAGGAAGAGGATGCGTGTAACGAATGGATGCTTTTTATCTGATTAAGAAACAAAAAACGAACCGAGTTTCATTCTTATTCGTTAGGATATAGAGGGTTTTAATCCATCGTGATGAAACATTGCAACAAAAGCATGGATCATACGTTTGGAGGATCAATATCTTATTATGAAAGTCGATGCTACCAAGGATAAGAGAACTGATGTATCAGTCTTGAATATTTATCTTTAGATATAAATTGAAAAACGAATTGATTATATGAAATATCCGTTAGAATAACTGAATATGCTTTTTAATTATAGATCGTGAAGTCATTTGAAGTCATTTGATAAGCTAGGTCAGCTGGCTAGAAAAGTGTTTTGACCTCATCTAGCAACTTTGCAGGCAGAAGACGAATCCGATCACTCAGTGGTGCGCTACAAGTGAGCAATGTATGAATTCGTCGAGGCTTGATTGGATCCGGAATTAGAATATACCAGCTACCTGGAACTAAATATAATTGATAAAAATTAAAGTGCAGTTATATTTAGGAAGATATTTTTAATATTTTTATTGCCATTTGAGGATGAATAGGAGTGATAGCTAAATCAACAAGTTTGGGAACCCTGCTACTGGGACACCTGGTGATTCGTACCATTAATCGAAACACCATTGTCCTTTCTATTGCAGGAAACATAGTGAATTAAGAATTTTTTTTTTCTTTGTGGATGCATTTATTGACTCTCAAGAAAGAACCTGTAAAAGAGTCAATAACCATGGAAATAGATATTTCACATGTCAGTGGTCTAGTGGTATGTAAAAACATGGAAGGACCATGGCCAGTTTTTAGATTATCAGGAACACTAAATGTCTTATGTATTGTACTAGTTTAATGACGCCCGATTTAAATTCATTATACGGTCATTTCGTAAGCATGTGTGCAAAGAATAAAAAGAAAATTTTTTCCAATTTTGCATCATCTTTTGTATGAACATTTTTGTTTATGCACGCTTGCATGCAACTATAATGAATTTCTTTGGAATCATCCGAATACGGCAACACGAGACGGCGTCCACGCATGAAAATAAGACTGGTATGCCATGAAGTATTAATAGGTTTCCTCAGATGCCAAATGTTTCTGGTATGGATGGAGGATTGTGGGATGAGAGGTTCTTTATGTTATGTTTTCAAATCATAATCTCACATTTCCATTCCGCATAGCTAAACTATCAAGAGATTTCTGTTGAAGGACATAGAATTTTGTTTTCCTCTTCTTTGCACAATGTCCAAAATTTTGGGGGTCAATTGTAATTATTTAATCCCTTTGTCTTTTTTTCATGCTTTACCATACCACTTTCTTTGAGTTTGAGGGATGTGACCACAACTATTTTAAAACTTCTCATAATTAAAGCCTGGGCAAGCTATGCAACGACAAAATCACCTTTCCTCTTATTTCACAATAACTTTCTTGCCGTAAATCAAAAGATCGTGCACATTCATCCAATCCATCACGTACACTTGAACACACATATTTCCATCCTCATGCAATTGAAGGGATTTACATATAAACCATGTTTCTTCTCAACACTTCTTTTGCCACCTTCACGCCTCATCACCATTAGGATTCAAACAAAGACTCACTGGTTAAATAATGACCATCGATATAATTTGAAAGTATTTGAGAATCCAAATGACGCTGAATGCTGATGGGGCAAATGCTTTGTTTTTTTTTATAGTAAACCTGCTAAGGAGATTCCTTTGAAGGACTTTCTTTGGAGCTTTTTTTTTATTTAACATATTTTCTGAGTTACGAGAACGTAAAAAATGTTTCGGTTCAAGGTAAGCGTTGAATTTCTAGCGAAAAGTATTTTTTTTTTTTTTTTTTGGGAGGGGAAGGTGACCTCAGGCAAACGGAAAGGCACACAATGGAATGAAGACTATACCACAAAAGCGACGGGTGGTTAATAAATGACGATGGATAAATTTAAGAGAAAAGAGACCCTCCAAAAAAAAAAGAAGAAGAAAAAAAAAAACTTGAAAATTAAGAAAAAAAAAAAAAAAATCAATAAAACGCTTACACTTTTCATATATAACCATCTACTATAGATCTGCCATTGAAACGAATATCGAGTATAAATGTT